CAACTGGTCCAAACATAAGCAGGGGTATACAGCTCTTATGTTTGCTGCTATCGTATGATATACTTTACATCTGCCTATACTTAGGCTGGAAACCTTCATTTAGTTTCTTTTCTTCTGTCTTGTGGCGCTTCAGTTTCTGCTACAAATTCACTCAACCGCACAGCATCCGAGATGGCTGCTTTTGTTGGTAATTACCCCTCCGCTTATCCTAATCATTCCAGGAAACTACTTCGTTGTTGCTCTCATAAGCAATTTTATACCCAAAGAAAAAATTGCATTTTTTTCTACACGAAAGGAGGCGAACGTGGCGAAAATCCCTGTTGTTCTTGTTGATCCTTTGCATCAGCTTGTCATCCGACTGAATTTTGCACCAGTTAAAGTAAGCCATTATTCTCCTTACTTCTTGGTTGTACAAGTTGAATACAGTAATTTTCTGCTTCTTTTTTAAAATGTGCTTGGGCAGTTTATTTAAGCCCCCAATCTTCATTATTGATAGCCCTTTGTGCTCAATTTGAACCTGCCGCAAACAGTCATAGTTACTTGTATGCTTGCATCACACAAGGATGTCTGAAAAGCCAGTCCAGGTGATACCTTACGAATGCTGCAAAAAATAAGATTTTTTCAGAGGGGGCAGAAATGTAGTAAATACAGTTAGTCTGTTTGAAATATTTGACTTTGAGGGAAGGGGTTCGCATCCCAGGCATGTGTGTAGATTGAAAAGAAGTGGTTTTGATCACCAGAATCGTAGTTTTATTACTCTGAGCTTTCGAAATCTTGCAGGAGTCCATCGTCAGACATAAAACCGTCAACGAAATCTTGTTGCTTGCTTGCTTTTGTTGAAGGTTTTATCTCTGACGATGAACTTCCGCAAAAGTTCGAAAGCTCAGACTAACAAAACTACGATTTCGGTGATCGAAACTATTTCGTCTCAACCTGTATTTGACTCTTCTTGGCGGTGGATTCATTGTGTATTTCTTTAAGTGAACTGTGCACATGGTGTGATAAGCAATTACGACCGACAATTGCATGAACATCACCGGTGGAGCAGGAACTTCTTGCCCCACTTATCCATAATCCTTAAAACAGTTCTTCAGTATATCCTCTGCTTGTTTTAGGTTAGGCCTTTTAGCCTGTTAGGGACAAAATTGCGTATTTAAATCAAAACCACCATTCGTTTTGTACCTACTATGAAGGCAGGTTTTTGTGTTTTTTGCTCAGTGACTTCACAGATCATTTGTTGTTAATGGCCTTTACGGCACTCAGCTCACAACAGGTCATATTAGAGAAGTGCTAACGACAGAGGGTGACACTGAAATGAACATTTCTTTCTCATTTACATAACCAACCATTAATGGCCCTTCTCCAGGTACTGC